GTGATGTGGATATAAAATGACCGAAAAGAATATAGAACATTGCAAAGAGAAGAGCAGAATAAATAGTTAATCAACAGAATAACATTAGAAAAATACAAAACAATTCAATATAGTATGTGTTTTACGCCCCCATCGACACAGCTTAAATCATTTACAGGGACGAGCTTCGATCCTATCTGTATAAGTCAATTCGGGCTAAGAGGGATACAGCTTCCTAAGAGAAAGACCGAGAGACTGGATACCCCCCCCTCCCCCACTCAACTCGGGAATCGAACCTGGTTCACCTGCATTGACAGCGAAGAGCGTAACAGCTACACCAAAGACATCGGTAGATTAGAAATATTATCACAGAGAGGCGTTCTGTCTGACTTAATCGTTCATCCAAAAGCCCACACCACACACCGCATGGGCCGAGACAGCGGCGACTAGCTGTCTGGACACGCCGCAGCTGAGAATGCCATTGTGGCACCAGTTATGCCCAGTGCACACTGCCAATCGGATTCGTATGATAAAGTGGGGACCAATCAGGTTTTCCGTGCATACATGGATGGGGCCACAGGCAATGTTTTGGTACAATGCGAGGGAATTCAAATGAATTCGATTGTGACCTTCAAAATCAAATATGTTTGTTTTTCACGGTTGCGAGTCGAATCGGCCATATTGAGCCAAAATGGTAGCTTTTTCACAATATATGAAAGAAAATCTTACGTGCATCCAACACTGGAGCAAATGAATCCGACTGTTAGTGTGCATTCAGTGTTGCGTTTATCAGTTGAGACATATGTCTTCCGATTCTTACCCCTTCCAACTCCCCCCTTTCCCCAATCCCCGCTCTCCTTGTTTCTAACATTCAATCAATTCATGTTGGGAAAACTGCCAACTCATTCTCTTGTCTTCTGTTTTCCATCCTCTTCAGATCCCATCATTCTTCATCTTTGAAGTCAATAATAGTGTATATGCCTGCATGCATAATTGTGTGTGTGTGTTTGTGTGTGCATGTGTGTGTGTGTGTGTGTGTGTGTGTGTG